GAGCAGAACCAGCGTCTGACATCGCAGCTCGAAGACTTAAATCATTTTCCAGGTTATTTGTTTAGCTTTCTGACCGTCATGCTAATCCGGGTGAGTGTTTGTAGCTGTGCGCTGCTTTACTGGCCGCTCCAGATGTCCCTTTATTTGCCTGCTTTGAGGCTCGATGTAGCCAAACTCCGTCAAATGTTTGTTTTTTAAACGTCATATTAGATTCGTTGTGTTGATGCATTTTGACGTGCTTCGCTCCCAAGGTATTCATTTGGCACAACACACAAACGTCCACATTCACTCTCAGAGCGTCATAGTTCCACATCGCTTAGGATTTGTTGCTGCGCGTTGTGAAGGAAAGAGGAGACCAGCTGCACAGGCAGGCTGCGAATGAGATGCAGGTGATCGGCAACAAGAGACCGTGATCACCAATCATACACTTTTTCACGGAAATCAGCCGATTATGATCGGTGGCCGATCGATCGGCACACCTCTATCAAATATATTATCTCATAGTCAAACTCAGATGTATTATCTATTGATATCGATCACATGCCTATTGTGATAGATTTTGTTATTGATTTATTGCCTGGCCCTAGCTGAGAATGACAGCAACAGGTGATGAAGATGAGCTCCTCTTCCTCTCCATCACCTGCTACAGGTGGACCTAGGTCACTGACCTCTCGCTCTCATCAGCGACCTTCTCCACCTCGTCCAGCTTGCGCAGTGCGGCAGCCAAACGCTCCTGGACCCGGTCCAGGTTCTCCTCGCTGAGCTGCAGTCGCCGGCTCAGAGACGTCACCTCTCCCTCCGCCTGCAAGACAGAGAGCAGGATAAGAGGTGAGAGCCCAGGGTCAAGGGTCAGGACCTGGTTCTAATCAGGTCCTTCCAGAAAATCTGGAGAGATCCTCACTGTCCCCTTTGACCTCCTCTAGTGGGTGGCAGTGGTGCAAGTGGTCCTCTGGATGCAGGAATACAAGTATGCACAAACACACACACACAGCCCAGTGGAGGAGCTGGACAGGTACGCCAGTCAACCTGATGAGGCCAGAATCTCCAGGTCCCAACAGAACCACTCAGAAAGGTTCACTAGTCTAGAAGCACCAGTAGGACTAACCTGACCCGAACTCAGCTCCAGGTCGACCAGTTTATTCATTCAGATGAATTGTTCATAATTTCACAGTTTATCTTCTGTAATATTTGATGAAGATCCTGTGTTCATATTGTTGAATAACTAAACTGAATTAAATAAAATATTACTGAACATATTATCATATTATTAACATCATCATCATGTTAATTTATTATCACTGACAAGTCATAACAAATTGTGAATGGAAGGATCGCAAGCCGTCAGTCAAAATGGTGGACATCAAGAAACTAGCGCTCCTCAGACAGCTGGACGTTGGGCTCCGCCCCCACAGCCAATCAACCAATCAGTGACTGGCTTCAAACTCACCTGTCTGGTCCAACGGAACCACTCTGGGTTCTAGAGAGTGGTTTGGACTGGGCCAGGGAGCAACGAACCCGACTCTAAACATCGGCCGGGTTCAGACCAGGTCGGACCAGGCCAGACTAGATCGGGCTGGGTCAAAATGGACCGGGTCGGACTGTGTTCAAACCCTCCTGGAGCGTAAGAGGCTCTAGAACCAGAGGAACCAGATCAGAACCGGAGCGCATACCTCCTCCCTGGTCCTCTTCTCCTTCTCCACATCCCGCTGCAGCTGCTCCGCCCGCTCCTCCGCCTCCTCCGCCTGCTCCTGCAGAACCTTGATCTTCTTCTTCACTGCGTCGATGCTGTTCATCCCGCCACTCATCTTCCCTTCCTGCAGAGACACAGCAGCTGATTGGTCGAGAGGAAACGGCACCAAAGACTGAACCTGTTCATTCTGAACAGTTCCCAGTCTGGTTCAGATGAACTAGTTCCCAGAATGAGCCAGACTGGGAACTATTCAAAGAACTGGATCAGCTCCATGATTTTCTTCTGTATGTAAAGACATTAATAATAATAATCTCTGATATTATCTCTGTCATCACTTAGGCTTTCAGTAAACAGCAATGATTCTGGTGATTCTGACCCAAAACCAGAGTTTTGGTTCTGGTGGAATGTCAGACAGGTGTATGTAAACTTCTGGCTCCAGCTGGAACTTCAGTCTGTGGTTCTTCGGTGCTTGTCAGAACCAGATATCCTGATATAAAGAAATGGTACCACTGCTAACACTGCACCTCAAAGCCCTGGTACCACCTGGTACCACCAGTGAGTACACTGTTCACTCTGCTTCACCCCAACGTTACCACCAGGCGGGTTAAAGCCGCAGCTGACGGGATCTGGGCTGCAGATGAGCGGCTGTGAATAGAAGTTACTGCTGATAAAGGAAGATTCTGCCCAGAGCATTTAGAGTTCACAAAATAATACATAAACATCAATAAAATGTTCAGGGGCCCATAATTTGAACCGCAGCATAAAACCATCCATATTCTTCTGCTTATCCGCGGTCGGGTCGTGGGGTCAGCAGCCTAAGAAGGGAGGCCCAGTCGTCCCTCTCCAGCCTCTTCCAGCTCCTCCAGGAACCCCAAACCATTCCCAGGCCAGCAGAGAGACATCGTCCCTCCAGCGTGTCCTGGGTCTCCCCTCCTCCCGGTGGGACCTGAACTCCTCACCAGGGAGGCGTCCAGGAGGCATCCTGACCAGATGCCCGAGCCACCTCAACTGGCTCCTCTCTACGTGGAGGAGCAGCAGCTCTACTCTGAGTCCCTCCTGGATGACCGAGCTTCTCTCTCTAAGGGAGAGCCCAGCCACCCTGCGGAGGAAACCCATTTCGGCCGTGTGTATCCGGGACCTCGTTCTTTCGGTCATGACCCAAAGCTCATGACCATAGATGAGGGTGGGAACGTAGATCGACCGGAAAATTGAGAGCTTCGCTTTTTGACTCAGCTCTTTCTTCACCATGACAGACCGGTACAGCGCCCGCTTCACGGCAGACGCTGCACCAATCCGCCTGTCGATCTCCCGCTCCCTTCTTCCCTCATTCGTGAACAAGATCCCCAGATACTTAAACTCCTCCACTTGGGGCAGGACGACCCCCCTGACCCGGAGAAGGCACTCTACCCTTTTCCGGCTCAAGACCATGGCCTCGGATTTGGAGGCACTGAGCCTCATCCCAGCCGCTTCACACTCGGCCGCGAACCGCTCCAGTGAGAGCCGCAGATCACGTTCCGA